GACAGGTCCTTGCGTGCACCGTTGTGATGATCTCGCCTTCCCTGCCTCTGTGGCACCTGGGACATCTTTCCGCCAAGAATTCTTCAACTCCCAAGGCGCGTCTCGTCGCGTAGACGAATTCGTTCGATGGAATCTCTCGAGCTCGGTCGGTGGGAGCCGCTCTCAGGAACGCGTGCCCCCCTTGCCCTTGCGAGCTTCTCGTTCGTGCGTATGCCATGTTCCTGGCCTCTTGACCTCCGTAGGGGTTGTCCTGCGTGGGTGGTACCGCCTCCTTGGGGAGGTGCTCCAGAGACTCCATGAACTTTTCAAGTTGTATCTTGTTAATCGCCTTGCCCAGTTTGTGCTGGGCTTTCCTCGGCGTAGTAGATTCCCCATCGTGTGCTGCCAGTTCTGCAACGGTGGGCTGACGCCTTCCGGTTTCTCCTGTCGGTTCTAAGGCCCACTCAACCCATGACGGGGGAAGGATCCCCTTCAGAATCTCCACCGATATTCCATGCTCCTGGTTGAGTTCTTTGATAGCGTCCCCCATCCGCTCCACCAACACGGTTCCCGGTATCCGAACTCTCACCGGTGTTATTGTCCATGTGATGGGCAACGATGAACCTACGCGAACGAGTTGAACGAATATGCCTGTTGCGAAGATTTGCCATGAAGTGCAGTAGTACAATACGGATGCAGGCCAGGGTTGGACGATGGGTGCACCATCACGCACGAATAGAGGCATTGGTTTAATATTGATGTCGAGTGTGAGACATTAAAATTTAGAGGTACATCTGCAATTTATTTATTTATTTTTGCCTTCCGGCAATTGCAGATGTACCTCAGAAAACTTTCACTTAATGTCTCATACTCTACATCTGCAATTGTCGGAAGGCAAAAAAAAAAAAAAATAGAGGCATGCATGCATGGTCCATACTGTAAACATAAGGAAACGCTGCCTAGGTAATAGAGAGGCCAGAAATGAGTTTTAGGAAACAACGGGTTTTGCTGTAGGCTTTCTGTGCATGAGGCGTCCGGCCAGTTGATGGAAGAGTGAACGAAATTACACAATTGATAGAGAGCAGTAGTACCGACCGGCAATTTTGAGGATGCGGGTAGAGCAGACGTGAATAGCGTGATTTGCGATAATCGAGTACAAGTAGTGACGAAACGAGCGCTCCGGACCCAAGTATCCACTTAAGAACTGCGAACACTCTCTATTCCTCGTGAAAGTAGCTTATAGAAGAACTGTGTAGTCTAGAGAAGTGGGGCACCTTTCACAAAATATTGATCGAACACAACGGCTAAGTCGGAGAGAACGGTCGTCTAAATCAAGATGTGTGCGTCCTCACCGTAGCACTTCCTCTATATCATATGAAATACAACACTGTAACTTTGCAGACCAGCTGTTCTCTTCTGAACGCGTAGGCTATGAACATGACTAATGGTTCTTCCGTAGAAAGACCCAAACTCGATTCGTTCGACGGGGACAAAACCAAGTTGGTTTCTTTGCGCTGATGCGGTCGGACACACCCGAGTGAATATGGACATGGGACGTACATGCCCACGGGAATGTCACACAATTTTATCCTGCAGCGTACTGGTGACATACACGCAACGTCCCCTCGTGTGAGTATCATCACCCAGTAGTCATCGATACCTAGAAATGAACTCTTCTCCGCGCGTGCAGAGGTTGCACTGCTCCACGAGCCTACATTCGATCACAGCCAGCCATCCGTTGTATGAAAGCCTCATGTACGCCTGTTCCTGGGCGCCGCGGACAAGTGATAATGTCCACTCAAATCGAAATGAGTACCAACGGTTCCTCGGGGCGCGAGTGGACACGGTACTTGCTTCACGACCGCTTCCTTCCTGCGGTTTGACAGATTTTCAGTCGACACCGTGGACCATGCACTCACGCAGTAGGCGCGTAGTTTGCAGCTTCATCGGTTGGACCACACCTGAACATCTTTAGTCTAGAGTGGCTATTTGGTTCAAACAGGCAGTCAACAGAGAGTGCGCGACACGTTCAACGTTTGCTGCTCCGAAGGACGCGAGTGAATTTTGTCTCCGTAAGCGAGGACCAGTCACCCGCACTACCCCCAGACGACGGCCAAACATCGTCCGACGTATGCATACGGCAGTACTACTAGGTGACACAGACCAATGCTCGGTGCAGTAGCGATCCTTCCTTTATGCTCCGCGTCGTGTGATGACATCGAAAGCACACCGAGATACACGGATGTGGCGGATTGTATTTCGCGGATAAGAAGATCTGGAGGTATCTTGCTACTGTAGAGATCAGTCACTGGACCCCGTACCCTACATGCCAGGTGTGCATTAACTCCCTCGCACTTCTCTCTCTCCTCTCGGTGATCCAATACACATGGTGAACCAAACTCCTTGTGGCCCAGAAACACATACATAAGCATTCAACTGTTCCGCGGCGGTGCTTGCTTGCTGTGGGCACCCTTCGCCAGGCGGAGTAAGTGACTCGCCCCGTTTTGGCTAATCGTCCCCGACGATATTTTCTCAAATGGTTTTCTTGGAGCAAGGCCTCGAGCCCTGTGCAACCAGGCTCTTCGTTAGGGCCTTGAGCCCGGCGCAACTGGGCTTTTCGTAAGGTCGTCCTGCTCGTCGATGGCTGAGTCGTGCTCCAGGAGCGGGCAAGAACGGTAGCGGGCGCTAACTCGATTATGCCGCCCATGGGTCGTGGGGGTTTTGCTCTCCGGGTCTTGTTTCAAAGACGCGTATCCTTTCATGGCACGGCGTCACTTCGCCGAGACTAAATCAAGGCAAGTCGGGCAAAACAACCAAAACAGCGCTACAACTTTAGAGGCATCCATGTACAGGCAGGCGGTACCAAGGCTTTGGAAAACACCCGCCTCAACGTGCGTTTCTCTAACCAAAGAAGCCGGGAAACGTCAACGAGCAACACCATGCCTATCGCTACGGCGTTGGGTCGACGCGTGTCACGATACGGAGGATCCCCACAAGAAAAAATGAACCAGGCAACGTCCACATGATGGAATAATCCAAGGGCGTTTAGTTCGGTCTACAGAAAGAGAACTACTGGATGCAGTCCGCAACCATTCGGCTGACGTCTGGCTGGTTGCTCCGCACCGCAATCTGCCAGGAATGGGGATCGGAACGGAGACGGGACACGTCGTCAAGCAGCGGGAGACATGACGGACACGGACCGTAAGAACAAAATAAAACTAACCTCATCGAGCGAGCGGGGCAACCAAACATGCGCGAGAGGCCTGCGGGATTCGACGACCGAAGTGAACCTGGCGCCACAGGCTTCAACACAAGGGAACAGAAACAAAAAAATGTGAAGCGACACGGTTCCTTTCACTCCACTACACCGTCGGGAGATACGACGAATCCGGTGCTTGGGCACTATGCAAAACACCAGGAAAGGTGATAGATACACCAAAATGAACATGGCGTTGTCAACACAGGCAGACCCTAGGAGCAGCGAAACGTTCGGCACGCATCTATCGTCCCCTCCATCGATAACAGTGTCCACCAGAGATGACTGAGCCAAACAGATTATTTCGAGCTGTCCGAGAGGCCTTACTCACCCACCTCTCCGGCAAAGAGAACAACAGAGGGAGAAACTGTGCCCGTGGTGACGATGCCTTTTGTATTATTACAGTTCTTCGTACCTTGAGGATGCAGCCGGCCTGCGGGTCCACGTTAAGCTGAGCCCTGACCAACACCGGGACATTACCCACGAAGATGCCGCAGAGGTGCAACGCGTGCTCCTTCTTGCCCGCAGCCGCGCTGCTTTGATGTTTGTTCCGTTTCGGGGAGCGGCACAATGTCCCACCATGGGAACCAATGGTGGAATTGACAAAAAAAAAGGGGGGGGAAGGTGGTCAGAAACAGAAGAAAAAAAAATGTTACAGGGGGTAGCTCTCGCAATCAGGACACGATGAAATCCGTGAGAAAGCAAGAGGGTTGGCCGGGCACAGCCTTCACATAGTCAGCTCTAGCAGATAGAAGCGAAACAAGTACAATCACGGAAGTTAATCTGTGAGGGACGGGCAAAGAAAGCTAGAATCAGGAAACAGCAAGGACGGGGATGAGAAAAGTCGAAAACCAGCTTCTCTTTCCCACCAACAACATGCTTCACGCGGGCCCTTCGTCAACGTGCACGCTAGTGCTCAGCCACCCCACATCCATTAACGCAAAACTCATGCTGTGGTCACGTAATGTACCTTCCGGTGCCGTCGCAGGTCTGCATCCCCAGGAAGTCCTCCACCGCCGCTACCGCCTCCTGCAGCCTCTTGAAGCCCAACGCGAACTTCTCCAGGACCTCCGCCTCGGCGCCCATCTGCTCCCACCCCCGACGGAAGTCTCCCAGGCTCACCTGGGGGGGGGGGGGGGGGGGGGGGGGGGGGGGGGGGGGGGGGGGGGGGGGGGGGGGGGGGGGGGGGGGGGGGGGGGGGGGGGGGGGGGGGGGGGAGGGGAAGGGAGGGATGGACAAGTTGTTCAACGTGCGGATCCTTATATTTCGCTTTTGTTGTATTGCTATATTTTTTGGAATTGGACAAGTTTTCCAACGTACGCATCCTCATCTTTCGCTACATCATAGTTGAATGGCGTGTTTTGTTTCGCCATATTTGCATTTTTCAAGGTTTTTA